TGCCTGGTCGCGGGCACTAAAGACATCGCACTGAGACGTGCAAGTGCACGTTATGCGGGCCCTGTGGAGTGAGCCTGCGAGTCGTTCTATCAATAGATCAGGGCGCCGTACCTCGTTCGACACTATTCTTATCGCACCGCGATCCCTCGACGCCCCGCCCAGTCAAGATTCTATTACAGGCTCCAGCGACCATGACAGTGGGAGGCTGAGAACGGGGGTGAGGCGTTGGCGAGGGCCCGCCAGAGGATCGGGTTGAACGTTGAGAGGTTGAAACAAGGTCGCCGCACGAAGCGCGGTGCACAGAGTGATCCGAGCCGCCTGCCGCGACGCGCTTCTAGGCTTGTGCCGCTGCCCAGAGGACCAGCGGGCGCACCCCTTGGTGTGCGCGACGCGATAGCAGCTCGTAGAGGAGAGGGAGCGCGGCAAGTCCCCGTTGGAATATATAAGGATGTACGGCGGGAGGCCGCCGATCACCCTCGCGGCGCGCCAACCCCGACATCCCACCGACACGCGGCATCTGCCAGCGGCGGACCCGGCGCCCTCGCCTCGCGCTTCTTCTCGCACGCGCGAGCCCATGACGCCATGCCTGACCCGCTCCTGCGCGCTCGCTGCCTATCTCCGCCACGTGCATGCGATCGACTGCCCTCAAGAACGCGCGCGCATCCAGCCCACTCCAGTGCGCTCCTCAGCCTGCTGCTGAGCTGCTCCCCTCCGTCCGACACGGCGCCCCCCGCGATGTCCTCTGAGTCCTCCGGCCTCGCGCCGCCCCCGCCCGTCACCGCGCCCGGCGACCGCGCCTCCCTCGGGCGCGCCGACTCCTTCGCCGACTCCGCCACCGCAGGCCCCTACGTCCCCCGAGCACCGCCGCCCTCGAGCCCTCCGTGCCCTCCACCCCCGTCGGCGCCTACGCCAGCCCCGCCGCCGCAGAGACCAGCCCGTTCGTCCCCCAGAGCACGAACCCGGACCCGGACCCCGAGGCCGCGCATCGCAAGGAAGCGTCGACCGGCTCGAAGGAGGCGTTGGCGGGGGAGGCGCGCACGGCGGGCGCAGCGGCGCGCCCGTGGTACCACTATCGCCGGCCGTGGATCTGGCTCGTCGGCGGCCTCGCGCTCGCGCGCTCGTCCTCGTCGTCGTCCTCCCCGTCTGGTTCGTCGCCGTCAAGCCGCACCGCGACGGCGCGAGCGGCGCTGCGGGCAAGGGTGGTGAGGCGGCGTGGGCGGCGGCGCGGTGACGGGCGGGAACGGGAGCACGGTGACGATGGCGAATGGGAGCACGTTCACGTACACGAACAGCTTTGGTGGATATTGTGAGTAGCGTCGTTTCCCCGCGGTCGCCCGCCCCGCGCCATGTGCTGACCGCGCGCTCTCCACGCAGGGGTGTACGACCCCGCGGACCCGTTCAACAACTCCGCGCGGGCGAACGCGTGGACGCCGCCGCTGTCGGAGCCGTGGAACTTCAGCACGCACCGCATCAACGGCGTGAACCTCGGCGGGCTGTTCGTCCTCGAGCCGTTCATCACGCCCAAGTACTACCAGCAGTACGCCGCGGCGGGCGCGATCGACGAGTGGACGCTCGACACCGCGCTCCGCGCGCAGGCGAACATCACCGCGGTCATGCAGGCGCACTACGGCGCGTTCGTCTCGGAGCAGGACATCGCTGAGATCGCCGGTGAGCAGTCTGCCTGCCTGTCTCTCGCACGTCGTGCGCGCGCGCTGGGGATGCTGACGGGCGTGGGGGTTCGTGCGTAGGTGCGGGCCTGACCTGGGTGCGGATGCCGATCCCGTTCTGGGCGATCGAGGCGTGGAGCGACGTGGGCGTTGCGGACGGGACGACGGTCGCGGAGCCGTTCGTCGCGCGCATGTGCTGGAGCTACATCCTGCAGGTGTTCCAGTGGGCGCGCAAGTACGGCCTCCGCGTCAACCTCGACTTGCACACCATCCCTGGGAGCCAGAACGGTCGGTCTTCGTGATCCTTTCGCTGTATTCTACTGAGGCGCTGATCGCGGGCGCAGGGTACAACCACTCGGGCAAGCTGGGCACGGTGAACTTTTTGAACGGGATGATGGGCATCGCGAATGCGGAGAGGGCGCTGGAGTATATACGTGTTATCGCGGAGTTTATCACCCAGGTGCGTGCTCTGCTGTGTCGCATCTCGTCGCGGACATTCACGAACTGCTCTGCAGCCGGAGTACCAGCCTGTCATCCCGATCTTTAGCATCGTGAACGAGGCGCTCCTGCAGACGATCACGCTGCCTGTGCTCACCACCTTGTGCGTCGCTGTGGATCCATCATCGCTGTCTCATGCTCACTCTGGACTGCACAGCTATCTGAACGCACACTGGATGATCCGGAACATCACGGGCGTCGGCGAGGGCAGCGGGCCGTACATCGCGATCCACGACGGCTTCATGGGCACCGCGTACTGGGCGGGCTTCCTCGAGGGGAGCGACCGTGTCATCCTCGGTGCGTCGCGCTCTCGTGCCGGTCGGGAAGTGTTGCTGACGGACTCTGCTTCCCCTCACTGCTCTCGCCTCCGGCAACTGCCGCTCTCCCGTGCCTGCTCCTCTCGTGTGCCCCTGACGCGGACTGCCGCGACGCGCTCTTCGCCGCCCGCTCGCCGCCTGTCGACGCCCGGTCCGCTCGTGCCCGCCCCGATCCACGCGCCCCGCTTGACGTGTGCTCGTCGCTGCGGCCCCGCGATCGGGTTCTCCGCGCGCCTCGGACCACCGCGCCTTCTGCTTCTGCGCTGTGCTGGACGATGACGTGCGCTGCGCCTGCTGCGACGTTCTGTCTCGCGGATCCGCTGCGCGTCGGTCCCGAACGACGCCCACCCTCGGCCCCGCCGACGCCTGCACCGCCTTCTCCCTTCTCTTCCGCCGCGTGGTCGTCGCGCTGTGTTCCCTGCGCCTCCCTGCGCACGTGGACGCTGCACCTGGCCCTCGTTTCTCGCGCGACGGGCGACAGACACGCACCCGTACTTCGCGTTCGACAATGAGCCGAACAACGAGCCGGTGAACGTGACCGCGAACGGCACGGCGGACGCGTCCGTGTATGGCGGGCAGTGGCCCCAGATGGCGTGCAGCGCGTGGGGCCCGGGCATGAACGCGAGGTGCGTCGCGCGCTCGCGCCTGTCTTCCTTTGCGGCGTGACGGCTTGCTGACGATTCTGTTTGGGGTTTCTGTGCGGGGCTGGACGTTGGGTGCAGTCGGAGCGCTTTCGGTGTGACCATTGCGGGCGAGTTCAGCAATGGGATCAATGACTGCGGGTTGTGGGTCCGCGGCGTCAACATCAGCGCGGCGTACGTCGGGAACTGCGATTACTGGGCGAACTGGGAGTCGTGGAGCGACGAGACCAAGGCGGGTCTCAAGACGTACGCACTCGCGAGCATGGACGCCCTCGGCGACTGGTTCTTCTGGACGTGGAAGGTGTGTCGTGGCCGTTGAGGTTCCCGCAGTCCGAACGGCAACTGACGGGGACACATCGATATCATCGCAGATCGACGCGTCGTCGACGAGCGGCACCGTCGAGTCCCCACTCTGGTCGTACAAGCTCGGGCTCGAGCAGGGGTGGATGCCGACGGACCCGCGCGCGGCGAGCGGGACGTGCGAGGCGCTCAAGGTCGCGCCGGCGCCGTGGAACCAGTCGTTCGCCGCGTATGCGACGGGCGGCGCGGGCGCGGGCGCGATCGCGGCGTCGTCCGTCGCGCAGTACGCCGCGTGGCCGCCGGCCTCGATCAACAACGTCCCCTCGGCGAGCATGCGCCTCCTCCCGCAGTACACCGCGACGGCGAGCGTCGTGAGTCTCCCCGCGGCGAGCACGTACTCCGCGCGACGGTGAGCACGGGGAGCGGGTGGGCGGACGGGGGCGATGCGAGGGGCGCGCCGACGCCGATTGCGGGGTGTGCGTACCCGGATGCGTGGGACGCGGTGAACGCGGCGGTGCCGACGAGTGGGTGCGGCGCGGGCGGGCGCGGCGGAGGTGAGGAGGGAGCTGGTGCGCCCGCTCGTGGTGACGAGCGTTTGAGGCGTGGAGCCCGTGCGCGCTGATCGCTGGCTTGTTGGGCTGGCGGTGGGTGGATGGACGGGGGTCTCCCTGGACTCGCCGTGCTCTTGACCGGGACTGGGACTGGGACTGGCTTTGCTTATATAGATACGTAAGTACATATCCGCGGCCCGCTCGCCACGCTCCTCCCTGGCTTTCTCCACGCATCCCTATAGTGTGCTCGGGATCCGAGACGCCACGCCTCCTCCTCTTGCACCCGACACCCATGCCTACCCGTCCTACCTTACTGACGTGCGCATTTATACCCGATCACCCCGCGAGCACGAATCACACGCACCGCTTGCTTACCTCTGTACATGACGACTTCGACGATTCTTGCATGTGGCGCTTGCCGGCCACCACACATCCGCGTCTACATCCACATCCACATCTACGCTCGTGTCCGTGTAGACGTTCCGCGTCCCTCGCTCTATCTCTCACCTCTCACCTCTCCTCTCGACGCTTGACTTACACTTCCCTTCCCTCTGTGCCCGCCTTGAAGCTTGGGTTAGCTCTCTCTCAGTCTGCTCTGCCGCGCTCTCGTACGTACCGCACGCGTACTTGGTCCTTCTTCACTGGCGAGTTCTGCCTGCGCCCCGGACCCCTATATACCTTTTTTACTCGCTGGATAGATGGAGACGGGTTTAGATTTGGATGCTTGCCTACTTATGTGCGATAGTTGGCACGACGCGTTTGTTGCGAGAGTTATGCGTACGTACTGATATACGAATGATGCGAAGACTCGGAGGAGACATTGTGGATCTGCCTTGGTCTCCTGAACACGTCGACCTGCATGCATGGACTGCGCATTCAAGTTGGCGGGCCCGCGACGGCCAGTGGACGGTGCGGACTCGCAGAAACCACTGTGCATGCATCGGCCTGACTCGGACGGTACGCATACTCGGCAATGCTTTTATACTATGACTGACAGCATACGATGACTTGCGTCAGACACAGTCCGGCGAATCTAGGTGTCAACTGAAAACAGCCCAAGTAGGGAGCGTTGAAACGTTGAGGGTTGGACTCGGACGTTGGACGTTGGACTCCAAGCCGGACGTCTGGACGTTTAACGTTTGGTCCAAGCCGGACGTCTGGACGTTTAACGTTTGGACATCAATGTTTGAACGTTGTGAGCTTCCCTGGAAGAGTTTGAGAGTCTGAGGGTTACATTGTTCACGAATATAGCCAGAGCAATCACTGATCGACCGGAGTGGCAGGCAGGACCATGACGGCACTGATAACATTATCGCTATCAGTGCCAGTGCGGGCCTGCTGAGGCCTGAAGTCATGAGTGCCAGTGCTGGGGCCACATCATGGTCACGGTTTTGTCTTTTGCATCTTCATTGCTGAGCGCTGAATGCACAGTATGCCCGATTGCCTTAACGATTGGCAGGAAGGTCACAGCTGCAGAAGATTTGGTCTAGTACCTGCAGTACCATGACGATTCCTCAGGATCGCACTCGCTAAGTACACTGCTCGATCTCGATCGACGAGTGCCAACTAGTAACCCGAGACACTACAGTGTCTACCGCCGTCTCAATAATATGCCCTTCAAGTTGGCACTGGCAGGACTGATCATGATCCGTCTCATCGGGTCAGTCATTGCTCGACGGGCGCCAGCATTAATATTATGTTTCTCTCATGATAAAGCACCACAGCACTCCGGGACGCCCGGATATCCGCAGAGCAGACCCCGGGGCATTACAGCTTCAATGAAGCGGCCCGCGGGTCCGACACGGGATGCCACCGCGAGGAGACAGGCCGACTCGGAAACGCGACGGTTGTACTTACGAGTAGGCTACTATAGTACATATTCTCCCTGTACTATCAACTAGTGCACTCCTTAGCTTCAGCTTCATTCTTGAGCTTCATTCTTGAGCCGTCAGACTTTGCAAGTTCCAAAGACATGACCGTTTAAATACCAGTATCCAAGACCTAAGTTAGCTTCCAATGACCGGAACAGTACGCCCTTTGGCACCGTCATCCCTCCAGAACAACCTTGTCACATAGTATGACCGCTCCGTCATTCGCTGACACTACAGTAATGATACACCGTACACGAGCTCTCGTACAGCGTTACATCAACATGGAACCGTGACAGCAACAGCAGCGGACTCTCCCAATCACCCACCGACGACTAGCTCGACTCACACCATCACCCAGAGATCGTGATGCTGACCTGGTACTCCTTCTTCGCCGGGTCCTCGTCGGTGTACACCACATTGACCTCGGTTCCCTTGGAGCTCCTCTTCGTAACCTTCGGGAGATGGACTCTCGCGCGTTCACATAGATGCCGCTGCTGTCGTAGTACTCGGGCTCGATCTTCATCGCCGTGTCGCCCGGACCGAGGTTCGTGACGAGGTCGCACCAGCGTACGTCGCTGTCGATCCCGAGCGGGACAAAGAACTCCTCGCCATCTTGGGGTTTCGGAAGCGCAGCGCACCCGAGGTGCCGCTCCCGTTGATGGTCAACGTGCGGGTGTCGCTGGTGTTGGTCCAGATGCCCCCGTTGGCGTTGTACCACACGACTTGCTCGACGACCTCAAAAAGCGCATTGCGGTGCGTATTGAGGATAACAACGTGGATGTTGTAGGCCATCGTGACTGTGGTGTGAAATACGCTCAATACCATGGCGGGCTATGTGGGATTCCGGATTAGTGCTCACCTGCTGTGTTGTTGAATTGAACTGCGATGAACAAATTGAGTGCGACAACCGATAATGTAGCTGTGATGAGCTTGTGAGTTAGATAGTATGCACTGTGTTGACCTATACACTCACCGAGGAGACACGAGGGCTCTTCACTGGGGACCAACACCTCGTTGAGGCAGCATTATATAGGTTTCCTGAGAGTCATTGTCGGTGCTTTCAAGACGAAGTTTAGTTCAGGGGTGTCACCCCCTGATGAGTTCAGTTTCTTCCAGACCCACCATGTGTTCTTGCCGTGGACGCGGCAGGACGACCATACTGGCAGGCCGACCACACTGACATGCCGCCGACGCTGGAAGGGACCTGAATCGTAAAGATGCGCTGAACATTCTGGAGGTGAGACCTTGAGCAGCCCCGGCTGTACATTTGTCCATGAATAGCTGTCAATATGTCAATAATCAGCGGGAAGCATCATCATGGTCAGACTGCATACCATGCAGGCCGATGGTAGTGGGCTCGCGCTGCCCCGCGCCATTAGGATTCACGACCATGAGTGAGATGTAGAATCACGCCGATGCGGCAACACATACCACAAGTTTGATGTGAGTCCTCGGCGCCGGGGAAGTAAAGTTGCGAAGAGTCAAGAATGTCGTGGCCGTAGTTTGCCATTCAATACGGAAACCCGGGAAAGCCATGGACCGGAACCTTGTGTCGTTGGTCTACGCTTCCATCTTGCCTCTTGTCAAGGGAGGGAGGTCCAGTCCGGTCGCGAAGCAAGCAAGGGCTAGCATGAAGTACATTGTGCCCAGATACTACAGGAGATCGTACAACACCGGTGGCCCGGGGTGGTACCAGGTGTCCTCAGCGGGCCTCCTCCTCGGTCGGTCGGTAGGCCTTCTTTGTGAAAGCGCCCCATGGATTCGGGTTTGTAGTGATCCAATGCACCGTACAGTTTGACAGTTGAACCACCGTTGAAAGCACGATGTTGACCACCTGTCGAATATACGTCAAGCATCCACGCAGCGAGTCCCTCCGAGCCCTTTGCTCTGTAAAAAGCTGTAAGTCCAGGCTCATCGTTGATCTGCGAGCACTAGCTTACCACCCTCCTATGGTCCCCTGCCAGTGCGATACCAAAGGCGCGGTTCAGATCCATAAGACATAGCCCAGCACCGAGTTCACGCAGCTGCACGACGATCTGTGCCTGTGCGTTTGAAGATCAATTCCGTCAGTGAACGAGACTCTGGAAAGACGGACGACTCGCCGGTCTGAGTCGTGTGGTAACCTGCCATGGCCTGCCCTGAAGAGAGCAGCCAATTGGCAGCCCGTTCGAACAATAGGCGGGTAGCAGACGCTTAAGTCGAATGGATGCAAGGCATCGCAGATTTGTTACGCCGGAGACGAATGCCACAATCGCTCACATACCTGTTGATGCGGTAGTGAATTGGTGTCGACTACTTCAATCTTGTCCCGACGGCAGTAGTTCGAAAGAAGATAACCTGTTGGCCTGTTATGGTTAAAACACTGGCACATTAAGCTGCGGAAGTCTTCACTCATCCGGTACTAGTAGACGGTCGCCGGTGTGCGCAACACGCAATTCCGCGCCGTTTCAGCATACCTTCAATAGTGAGGCGAGCCCTCAGGAGCCCGCTATCGGGCTTTCGCGCCTCACGAACTGCGACTGAATATGTATGGGTGTTGAAGTGAAAGAGGTTTAGAAGGGCTTGTTAGGCCAGTGGAAGTGAAGGACAGTAGAGTGGAGTGAACAGACCTATCCCAGAGGGAAGACTCTGATGCTAGGCAGGCAGAAGAGAGGAGAGATCGTTATCCATTAGGGGGGAATCACCCTAGTATATATACATGTCTGGGACTGATCACATGCTACATCAGTAAGCAGATCAGTAATCACTAAGTCCGAGTTTTAGGGAAATGAGTAAGCCTTAACTCCAGAGATAGGGATATGCATAAGCGTCCATGTGATCAAGGAATGTACTGGAAGGTCATGGAACATGCCGGAAGGGAGTGGAATGATCCAGAATAAGTCTGGAACAGTGTAGATCGGTCTGGAGCGAGTCACAAGATGAGTCCAGACAGAGTCCATCAAAAGAATGTATGTAATACTACATCGCAGAACACAAGTCCATATATGTACGTAACTGATAAGATAAGATAACACTGGAAAGTCGGAAGTTCAACACTCCCACTTGTTCAAGATGTCAAGTATCTCATCATGCCAACTGAAGACCTGAATTTCTCAATTCCACTGAATGGAACATTCTTGGTCAAGGCATCAGCAAGTTGGTCTTCACTTGCGACGTAGTAGATCTCCATTTCTCCACGTTCGTAGAACTCCCGAATATAGTGATAACGGATTTCTATATGCTTGGTGCGGCGATCCACAGCAGGGTTCACCGCAAGGAAAATGTTGCCTTGGTTGTCAAGACAAAGCGGAGTTGGATGAGACATATTATCTCCCAGTTCTTCTCCAAAATGACGTAGCCAGGCCATCTGACGACAGCAGTCAGAGCTGGCCTTATACTCTGCTTCAGTTGAAGACAAAGATACCGTCGGTTGACGTCTTGACACCCAAGAAACGACACAATTGGCCATAAGGAAAGTAAAGCCACTTGTAGAGTGCCTATCATCGTGATCTTCACCCCAGTCAGAGTCTGAATAGGCAATCAGACCAGAATTCGAGCCTCCGTCATAACAGAGAGCGAGTTCCTT